GAGTTTGAGAACATGACGCCATCCGCCCACCTCTCCTCCTCAGCCAATCAGAGGAATACAAATATTCCTGGTTGAGCAGCACTCAGCCTGACTTTACTTTGTTCAAGGAGTGGGACAGGAAGGTCTCGTCCCACTGATGGAACACAGCACTGTGTACTATATGTAGCTAAGACTACATACGGATAATACAGTATGCCCAACAAGCTCAGTAGATATTTCATATGAACCAGCTTCACACAAATGATGTATTTGGAGGGGAATTAAACGAGGAATTAGACTTTAGCACCCGCTCTACAGAAGTTGATTGTTTGACTTCTATTCAAGGGACATGTTGGGAAACTTTTCTTGATCTGGCCAGGTTCTAAGATTGTTTAATGTTGTCTACACTGATGTAGCTACAGGGGTTGCAGAGGTCACAATCGTGACCCCGGTCCTGCTCCAGAGGGCCCATGGGCCCCCCCTGTCACATTGTTCCCTGTCTTCTATAGCTTTCATAGATGTGTGCTTCCCCTGCAGCCCCAGCCCCCCGTCCTGTCACTGACTAGAAGCAGCAAGAAGGAAAAAGTAGCCTCAACCTGTATAGGAATTGCCACCCATCGTGACAAGGAGAAACAGAAGAGTTAACGGCAGTTACAGCTGATCCGCCTCCTGCTACCTACTGAGCCAATAGGCATTGCTGCAACCTGTCCCCTTCCCCAATCCCGTGACCTTTGATTGAGAAAGAGCCGAGATGCCATGGGGACTGGGGCGGGGGAAGAGAAAGAACAGAGCTGATCGATTTAGGGGAAGGTAATCTGGAGACTGTGCACAGAGAACAAATGTTTATTGCAAGCCTCTCCTCGTCTGTCCATCCGTCCTTCCTTCCTTCCCTTCTCTCCCTACCCTCCTCACTCTCATTTTAAGATTTTGTTAATTTTATTTGTAAGGCCAGTCATAGACAGATTGAAATTTGGACGATTCAGCAGGTACCAGTCAAATTTCAATCTGTCTATGGGCAAGCTGGTTGTACTACAGTCAATCAATGAATGAACATCATACAAACAGCCTGTTGAGTTCTTTCATACAATAGCTGGCAGCAGTGATCACTGTATTCTGATGGCAGCTGGGAAACCTCCCACTGTCGGAGTACAATATCATTGAGGGAGAAAAACAATGGAGAACCACCTGCGCTACCCTGAATAAACGAATGTTCTAGGAGTGGGTTGCCGCTGACACCTGGCTATACACCTGGATAGAATGGGATCAAAATTGTAACAAAAATGGTGCTGTGCTCCCACACTTGTATTTATATAAATTATTAAATCAAAATGAGGTTTCAAAAAACCTCTAGTGAATCCTCCTGTGTATAATTATCACAAACTTAATTCTTCATATTATTATACAATCTTATACAGTGATGTTTAATAAAACCATATAAAAAATAATAAAAGTGCAAAACACATAAAAAACGCAATACATAGACCCACTTGTGTCCCTAGACAGGGCGAAATCACAAATAGCACTAAACCACACGTGATAAAACACTTGGCATGAAATGAATGCCCAAAGGTGCAGTGAGAATTCGCTGACAAATGGCACTATTGTGCCTATAGAAACAAACAATGGGACGGTCAGGATAAATTAACCTGACTAAAAGACAATGCACAAGGACTATAACAAATCCTTGGACATAAATGTGCGACCAACACTTGACAAGTGCCCACATGTAACAAAGTGTATATATTTTGCTGTGCTCTAGTCCCCAAACTTGGGACTATACTGCTATATAAATAGCAAAAAAAAATAAAAAATAAAATGGGTGAATGCACAAATGAAAATCCAGTGACACTCTATGGTAAATACATAACTTAAATCAATTTGTAAAACAGTCCACAAAAACACGTGCCACCAATTATTAGTAAAACAAAAAACAAATCGTCCATGTGTGTAATCTTCAATATGGTTGGATATCTAGAAACCTCCAGCGATAAACATAAATCTGGCAGGTGAACAAAAAGTGTGATCCTTCACCGGTAAGATTGCCTCCTCACCTTCATGAAGCGATCCCACAAGGTGAAAACTCTTTAATGCTATTAAGCACAGCCAACCGCTCAATCCTCCACGTCAAATTCGGTATCACAAACAGTGGTGGTATCCCCCTTCAGAGCTTACAGGTATCACCTCTCCTGATGTTCGGGTGGTTTTCATATGATCTAATTGCATCAGCTTACTCATCGGTGTTTATAAAACAAGAAGAATCCTTCCATCATGTGATATTGTTTCATTTATTGATGTAAAAAAATACTGTAAATGCTCAGTCACATGTGTTAAGTGAAAAACATAATCACAGATCCTCATAGGAACTCCTGGGTGTACTCCTATGGGTGTATCAAGATGGCGCTTGCGCCGGAAGTGACGTCACCACTTCTCCGTCTCTCTTCCGAATCGTTGGGTCACTAATCACGTGACTTAATCATGAAATTTTTGCCCGTTTTTCTTTGCAAAATAGCTCAAGCTCTGTCAGATTGGATGGAGAGTGTATAGGAATTTTCATGTCTTGCCACAGATTCTTAATTGGATTTAGATCTGGCCTTTGACTGGGCCATTCTAACACATGAATATGCTTTGATCTAAACCATTCCATTGTAGCTCTGGCAATATGTTTAGGGTCGTTGTCCTGCTGGAAGGTGAACCTCCGCCCCAGTCTCAAGTCGTTTGCAGACTCTAACAGAATTTCTTCTAAGATTGCCCTGTATTTGGCTCCATCCATCTTCCCATCAACTCTGACCAGCTTCCCTGTCCCTTCTGAAGAAAAGCATCCCCACAACATGATGCTGCCACCACCATGTTTCACGGTGGGGATGGTGTGTTCAGGGTGATGTGCAGTGTTAGTTTTCCACCACACATAGCGTTTTGCTTTTAGGCCCAAAAGTTACATTTTGTTCCCATCTGACCAGAGCACCTTCTTCCACGTTTGCTGTGTCCCCCACATGGCTTCTTGCAAACTGCAAACGGGACTTCTTATAGCTTTCTCTCAACAATGGATTTCTTCTTGCCACTCTTCCATAAAGGCCAGATTTGTGGAGTGCACGACTAATAGTTGTCCTGTGGACAGATTCTCCTGCCTGAGCTCTGGATCTCTGAAGCTCCTCCAGAGTTACCATGGGCCTCTTGACTGCTTCTCTGATAAATGTGGGATTTTGTTTATATCCTAACCCTGCTTTAAACTTCTCCACAACTTTATCCCTGACCTGCCTGGTGTGTTCCTTGGCCTTCATGGTGCTGGTTGTTTACTAAAATTTTCTAACAAACATTTGAGGGCTTCACAGAACAGTTGTATTTATAATGAGATTAAATTACACACAGGTGGACTCTATTTACTAATTAGGTGACTTCTGAAGGCAATTTGTTCACACTAGATTTTATTTAGGGGTATCAGAGTAAAGGGGGGCTAAATACAAATGCATGCCACACTTTTCAGATATTTATTTGTAAAAATTTGTGAAAAGCATTCATCATTTTCCTTCCACTGCACAATTTGTGGTTGTAACAGTTTGTGGTTGTAACATGACAAAATGTGAACAATTTCAAGGGGTATGAATACTTTTTCAAGGCTATATATATATATATATATATATATATATATACACCGTATTTTCGCTCCATAAGACGCACCTAGGTTTTAGAGGCGGAAAACAAGAAAAAAAATATTCTGAACTAATGGACTGCAGACATAGCACAGGAGATGAGATGACCAGAGACTGCAGACATAGTACAGGAGATGACCAGAGACTGCGGACATAGACCAGGAGATGACCAGAGACTGCGGACATAGTACAGGAGATGACCAGAGACTGCAGACATACTACAGGAGATGAACTGAGACTGAGGACACAGTACAGGAGATGACCGGAGACTGCGGACATACTACAGGAGATGACCGGAGACTGCGGACATAGTACAGGAGATGACCGAAGACTGCGGACATACTACAGGAGATGACCAGAGACTGCAGACAGTACAGGAGATGACCAGAGACTGCAGACATACTACAGGAGATGAACTGAGACTGAGGACACAGTACAGGAGATGACCGGAGACTGCGGACATACTACAGGAGATGACCGGAGACTGCGGACATAGTACAGGAGATGACCGGAGACTGCGGACACAGTACAGGAGATGACCAGAGACTACGGACACAGTACAGGAGATGACCGGAGACTGCAGACATACTACAGGAGATGACCAGAGACTGCGGACATAGTACAGGAGATGACCAGAGACTGCGGACATAGTACAGGAGATGACCAGAGACTGCGGACATAGTACAGGAGATGACCAGAGACTGCGGACATAGTACAGGAGATGACCAGAGACTGCGGACATAGTACAGGAGATGACCAGAGACTGCAGACATAGTACAGGAGATGACCAGAGACTGCGGACATAGTACAAGAGATGACCAGAGACTGCGGACATAGTACAGGAGATGACCAGAGACTGCAGACAGTACAGGAGATGACCAGAGACTGCAGACATAGTACAGGAGATGACTGAGACTGCGGACACAGTACAGGAGATGACCGGAGACTGCGGACATACTACAGGAGATGACCAGAGACTGCGGACATAGTACAGGAGATGACCAGAGACTGCAGACAGTACAGGAGATGACCAGAGACTGCAGACATACTACAGGAGATGACCAGAGACTGAGGACACAGTACAGGAGATGACCGAGACTGCGGACATACTACAGGAGATGACCAGAGACTGCGGACATAGTACAGGAGATGACCAGAGACTGCGGACATAGTACAGGAGATGACTAGAGACTGCAGACAGTACAGGAGATGACCAGAGACTGCAGACATACTACAGGAGATGACCAGAGACTGCGGACACAGTACAGGAGATGACCAGAGACTGCAGACATACTACAGGAGATGAACTGAGACTGAGGACACAGTACAGGAGATGACCGGAGACTGCGGACATAGTACAGGAGATGACCAGAGACTGCGGACATAGTACAGGAGATGACCAGAGACTGCAGACATAGTACAGGAGATGACCAGAGACTGCAGACATACTACAGGAGATGACCAGAGACTGCAGACATAGTACAGGAGATGACCAGAGACTGCAGACATAGTACAGGAGATGACCAGAGACTGCAGACATAGTACAGGAGATGACCAGAGACTGCGGACATAGTACAGGAGATGACTAGAGACTGTGGACACAGTACAGGAGTTGACCAGAGACTGCGGACAGTACAGGGGATGACCAGAGACTGCGGACAGTATAGAGGATGACCAAGAGACTGCGGACAGTACAGGGGATGACCAAGAGACTGCGGACAGTACAGGGGATGACCAGAGACTGTGGACAGTAGTACAGGAGATGACCAGAGACTGCGGATAGTACAGGGGATGACCAGAGACTGCGGACAGTGCAGGGGATGACCAGAGACTGTGGACAGTACAGGGGATGACCAGAGACTGTGGACAGTGCAGGGGATGACCAGAGACTGCGGATATAGTACAGGGGATGACCAGAGACTGCGGACAGTACAGGGGATGACCAGAGGCTGCGGACAGTGAAGGGGATGACCAGAGACTGCGGACATAGTATAGGGGATGACCAGAGACTGCGGATAGTACAGGGGATGACCAGAGACTGCGGACATAGTATAGGGGATGACCAGAGACTGCGGACAGTACAGGGGATGACCAGAGACTGCGGACAGTATAAGGGATGACCAAGAGACTGCAGACAGTACAGGGGATGACCAAGAGACTGCAGACAGTACAGGGGATGACCAAGAGACTGCGGACAGTACAGGGATGACCAGAGACTGCAGACAGTACAGGAGATGACCAGAGACTGCGGACATAGTACAGGGATGACCAGAGACTGCGGACATAGTACAGGAGATGACCAGAGACTGCAGACAGTACAGGAGATGACCAGAGACTGCAGACATACAAAGTACAGGAGATGACCAGAGACTGAGGACACAGTACAGGAGATGACCGGAGACTGCGGACATACTACAGGAGATGATCAGAGATTGCGGACATAGTACAGGAGATGACTAGAGACTGCAGACAGTACAGGGGATGACCAGAGACTGCAGACAGTACAGGAGATGGCCAGAGACTGCAGACATAGTACAGGAGATGACCAGAGACTGCAGACATAGTACAGGAGATGACCAGAGACTGCGGACATAGTACAGGAGATGACTAGAGGCTGTGGACATAGTACAGGAGATGACCAGAGACTGCAGACAGTACAGGAGATGACCAGAGACTGCAAACATACTACAGGAGATGACCAGAGACTGCTGACACAGTACAGGAGTTGACCAGAGACTGCGGACAGTACAGGGGGATGACCAGAGACTGCGGACAGTATAGAGGATGACCAAGAGACTGCGGACAGTACAGGGATGACCAAGAGACTGCGGACAGTACAGGGGATGACCAGAGACTGTGGACAGTACAGGGGATGACCAGAGACTGCGGACAGTACAGGGGATGACCAGAGACTGCGGACAGTGCAGGGGGATGACCAGAGACTGCGGACAGTACAGGGGATGACCAGAGACTGCGGATATAGTACAGGGGATGACCAGAGACTGCGGACAGTACAGGGGATGACCAGAGGCTGCGGACAGTGAAGGGGATGACCAGAGACTGCGGACATAGTATAGGGGATGACCAGAGACTGCGGATAGTACAGGGGATGACCAGAGACTGCGGACATAGTATAGGGGATGACCAGAGACTGCGGACAGTACAGGGGATGACCAGAGACTGCGGACAGTATAAGGGATGACCAAGAGACTGCAGACAGTACAGGGGGGACGACCAGAGACTGCAGACAGTAACAGGGGATGACCAAGAGACTGCGGACAGTACAGGGGATGACCAGAGACTGCAGACAGTACAGGGGATGACCAGAGACTGCAGACAGTACAGGGGATGACCAGAGACTGCAGACAGTACAGGGGATGACCAGAGACTAGAGACATAGTATAGGGCGGGTGTCGGCAACCCGCGGCTCCAAAGCCGCATGCGGCTCTTTTTCATCTTTGCTGCGGCTCCGAAGCACACTGCCCACCAGGTGACAGGCAATAGGGTTTCAGCGTGGCAAACATTGGCTGTCAGGATGTAGGCGGGGCAACGTGACGAACTCCTCTCCTCTCACAGTCCGCCCTGAAGACCGTAACGGCGCGGGAACGGCGTGGGATGAATTACTATATGGGGGATGAATTACTATGGGGGGGATGAATTACTATGGGGGATGAATTACTATATGGGGGATGAATTACTATAGGGGGGATGAATTACTATAGGGGGGATGAATTACTATAGGGGGGATGAATTACTATATGGGGGATGAATTACTATGGGGGATGAATTACTATAGGGGGGATGAATTACTATAGGGGGGATGAATTACTATAGGGGGGATGAATTACTATATGGGGGATGAATTACTATGGGGGATGAATTACTATATGGGGGATGAATTACTATGGGGGATGAATTACTATATGGGGGATGAATTACTATAGGGGGGATGAATTACTATAGGGGGGATGAATTACTATAGGGGGATGAATTACTATGGGGGATGAATTACTATATGGGGGATGAATTACTATATGGGGGATGAATTACTATATGGGGGATGAATTACTATGGGGGATGAATTACTATATGGGGGATGAATTACTATGGGGGATGAATTACTATATGGGGGATGTATTTTCAGTTTTAAAAAATGTGGCTCTCAAAATAAAAAGTATGCATTTGGAGTGCTGTCGATCTTCGGCTCCACATATGTATGTGAGCAGGTCTTCTCCAACATGAACTATATTAAAAACAAACATCGATCACGCCTCACAGATGACAGCTTGCAAGCCTGTGTGAAAATGAAGGTGACGTCTTACAGCCCTGATGTGCAGACACTGTGCACTGAGGTTCAGGAGAAAAAATCCCATTAACCAGATAAATTAAATATTTTAATTAGCTATTAATGTGCAAAAATATATTTTACATTGTTAAGTGAAAAAGTTCTTTTTTTTCTTCAGATTGACAGCTAACTGCACGATCCTGTATATAGCATTAAGGTAAAGAAACAATATATGCAGTGTCGGATTTGTTTTAAATGTTGCAATGGTTTTGCGGCTCCCAGTCTTTTTTTCCCTTCGGAAACGGGTCCAAGTGGCTCTTTATGTCTTAAAGGTTGCAGACCCCTGGTATAGGGGATGACCAGACCAGAGACTGCGGACAGTACAGGGGATGACCAGAGACTGCGGACAGTACAGGAGATGACCAGAGACTGCGGACAGTATAAGGGATGACCAAGAGACTGCAGACAGTACAACAGTACAGGGGATGACCAGAGGCTGCGGACAGTGAAGGGGATGACCAGAGACTGCGGACATAGTATAGGGGATGACCAGAGACTGCGGATAGTACAGGGGATGACCAGAGACTGCGGACATAGTATAGGGGATGACCAGAGACTGCGGACAGTACTGGGGGATGACCAGAGACTGCGGACAGTATAAGGGATGACCAAGAGACTGCAGACAGTACAGGGGACGACCAGAGACTGCAGACAGTACAGGGGATGACCAAGAGACTGCGGACAGTACAGGGGATGACCAGAGACTGCAGACAGTACAGGGGATGACCAGAGACTGCAGACAGTACAGGGGGGATGCAGACAGTACAGGGGAGACCTAGAGACATAGTATAGGGCGGGTGTCGGCAACCCGCGGCTCCAGAGCCGCATGCGGCTCTTTTTCATCTTTGCTGCGGCTCCGGAGCACACTGCCCACCAGGTGACAGGCAATAGGGTTTCAGCGTGGCAAACATTGGCTGTCAGGATGTAGGCGGGGCAACGTGACGAACTCCTCTCCTCTCACAGTCCGCCCTGAAGACCGTAACGGCGCGGGAACGGCGCGGGATGAATTACTATATGGGGGATGAATTACTATATGGGGGATGAATTACTATGGGGGATGAATTACTATAGGGGGGATGAATTACTATAGGGGGGATGAATTACTATAGGGGGGATGAATTACTATATGGGGGATGAATTACTATATGGGGGATGAATTACTATAGGGGGGATAAATTACTATATGGGGGATGAATTACTATGGGGGATGAATTACTATATGGGGGATGAATTACTATATGGGGGATGAATTACTATAGGGGGGGGATGAATTACTATATGGGGGATGAATTACTATATGGGGGATGAATTACTATATGGGGGATGAATTACTATATGGGGGATGAATTACTATGGGGGATGAATTACTATATGGGGGATGAATTACTATGGGGGATGAATTACTATATGGGGGATGTATTTTCAGTTTTAAAAATGTGGCTCTCAAAATAAAAAGTATGCATTTGGAGTGCTGTCGATCTTCGGCTCCACATATGTATGTGAGCAGGTCTTCTCCAACATGAACTATATTAAAAACAAACATCGATCACGCCTCACAGATGACAGCTTGCAAGCCTGTGTGAAAATGAAGGTGACGTCTTACAGCCCTGATGTGCAGACACTGTGCACTGAGGTTCAGGAAAAAATCCCATTAACCAGATAAATTAAATATTTTAATTATCTATTAATGTGCAAAAATATATTTTACATTGTTAAGTGAAAAAGTTCTTTTTTTCTTCAGATTGACAGCTAACTGCACGATCCTGTATATAGCATTAAGGTAAGAAACAATATATGCAGTGTCGGATTTGTTTTAAATGTTGCAATGGTTTTGCGGCTCCCAGTCTTTTTTTTCCCTTCGGAAACGGGTCCAAGTGGCTCTTTATGTCTTAAAGGTTGCACACCCCTGGTATAGGGGATGACCAGAGACTGCGGACAGTACAGGGGATGACCAGAGACTGCGGACAGTACAGGAGATGACCAGAGACTGCGGACAGTATAAGGGATGACCAAGAGACTGCAGACAGTACAGGAGATGACCAGAGACTGCAGACAGTACAGGGGATGACCAAGAGACTGCGGATAGTACAGGGGATGACCAAGAGACTGCGGACAGTACAGGGGATGACCAAGAGACTGCGGACAGTGCAGGGGATGACCAGAGACTGCGGACAGTACAGGAGATTACCAGAGACTGCAGACAGTACAGGAGATGACCAAGAGACTGCTGATCTTTGGGGAGGGAGGGGGATCGGGTACCTGAATTTGACAGGTACCCGCTCGCACTTCCGCGGAGTTGTCCTCCCTTTAGTGTGGGCACCCGGCTGACAGCCGGATGCCCAGCACGCATGCACGAGAAGCGCTGCGCTTTGTGATTGGTCCAGCGTCTTCTGGGACCTGTCATGTGTCCCAGAAGACGCCATACCATTCACAAAGCCCAGCGCTTCTCGCGCATGCGCACTGGGCACCCGGCTGCCACACTAAAGAAGCCGGCACGGGAAGACTGTACAGTGCTGGACCAAGGAACAGGTAAGGTTCTGTTGCAGAGAAGAGACGAGTGGCCGGCCCGGTATTCTGACACATGCGGCGGTGGAAATACCGGACACTCCATATTCGCTCCATAAGACGCACTGACATTTTCCCCCCTTTTTTGGGGGGAAAAAAGTGCGTCTTATGCAGCGAAAAATACAGTGTATATATATAAACATATACAGGCATACCGAAACGTGGTTTACATTGAAAACCAATTAATCCATTCTGGAGGTCAGAAAAAAGTAAATAAATAAGTTTTTAATCTGTTCAAAACTCTTTATAAAGTGCACTTTAAAGGCATAAATACTGTACAGGGACATGATTAAAAATTAATTCGTAAATGCATGGAAAACAAATTAATCCTGTTTAACTGTTTACTTTCCAAAAAGGGGTCATTTGGGGGATATTTGTATTGTCCTGGCATTTTAGAGCCTCAATAAATGAGACAGGCCATCAGCACATCAAGGCTGATCGATTTTCAGATATACAGGCGTATGTCGGTTTACGAATTTAATGCGGTTTGCGGGATTTTTCACATTGCAAAAAAATTGTAAACCGAAACGCGGTTTCCAATAGGAATGCAATGAAAACCAATTAATCCGTTCGGGAGGTCAGAAAAAAAAGTCTTTTATCTGTTCAAAACTCTTTATAAAGTGCACTTTAAAGGCATAAATACTGTACAAGGACATGATTAAAAATTAATTCGTAAATGCATTGAAAACCAATTAATCCGTTCGTATTGCGAAAAAAATTCATAAATTAATTGTAAACCAGTCAATCTGTTCGTATTTTGAAAAAAAAATTGTAAACCGAGACATTATTTTCAATGGATTTTCATTCGTAAACCAAAACTTACGTTAACTGAGGCGTTTGTAAACAGAGGTATGCCTGTATACAGTACAGTGTGGGCGGGCAGCAAGTCGTTAAAGTGAAATTTTGTGTTTAACCCTAACTAATCTTAAAACTGTTCACTCCCTCCTCCTAAACTTGATGCTTTCTAACCTGTGTAACAAAGATCTATATACTTCATTTTTTTCATCCCACTCTGTCCTGGTCACAGGTGATCCAGATCCCCTGTGTCAGCCAGTGCAACTTCAGTGGAGAGGTGGGAGTGCTGACAACTCATGGGTCATTGAAGCCTATGGCTGGCAGTGCCGCTTTAGGCTTTTCTAGCCATTGTAGAGAGCTTTCTTCTCTTCCCTATGGCCACCACTGGTTGACACGGGAGATCACATGACCAGACCTATAAATAAATAGGTATATTTCTTACATAAGCTAGCCAGTTTAGGTGTTAGAAGTGGGGAGGGGACAGTTTTAAGAGTATTTAGGGTTAAACCCGTAATTCCACTTTAAGCTGGCCACATTCTTAGTTATTGTTGTTTAGCCAGTGGAATGAATGAAAAAACAAATGGATTCCTCCATCCACACAAATGAGGTGCAGAGAGGAATTTCCCCCCCCCCCCCCCCCCCCCCCCTTCATCTTGCTGAGACATTGTATTCTGACAGTGGCTGCAACTGATGATCATTGTAAGGTTTTCCAACATGTACCTTTGACTGAAGTTAATTAAAGCAACTGTAAAGGCAATTTTTTTTTTTGACGACAAATATATCATACATACAGTACCTGTTCTGTGCAATGGTTTGCACAGGGCAACCCCTATCCTCCTCTTCTCGGGTCCCCCGTTGGCGTTCCTGGCCCCTACCACCTGCCAAGTCCATTCACACATAGCCATGGCTTGGCCCCTCCCCCTGCTCACTCCTCATTGGCTCACTAGCCATGATTGGCAGTAGCAAACCCTTGTGACATCATCACAGTATTTAAGAACTGTCATCCTGGCACAGCTGTCAGACGGCCGGGAGCCAGCATCGAGAGTGTTTTTTTTTTTTTTTTTTTTTTTTTTTCGGTCGGCTGTGGCAGAGGGCATTGTGATTGACGGATCTACTTCGGGGGACATTTAAATTTAATTTTTTTTAAAAAAAGGACTTGTCAAAGACTGTCTCCTGACATTTTTCCAATACACTTTTTTTTTTGTGTGTGAATGGGTAGCTGTACCATGTACCCCACAGTTGTTCACATGGGGGGTGGGATCTGGGGGCCCCCTTGTTAAAGGGGCTCCCAGATTCCAATAAGCCCCGCCACCCGCAGACCCCACAACCACCAGACTTGGTTGTGGTGAAAGAGGCCCTTGTCTCTATCAACATGGGGACAAGGTGCTTTGGGGGGGAGCCCCCCTGCCCCAAAGCACCCCCCACATGTTGAGGGCATTTGGCCTTGTATGGTTTAGGAGGGGGGGAGTGCTCGCTCATCGTGGTATGGATAGGGACATTTTTTTAAAATGATTTTTTTAATTACTGAGCATTGCTGCGAATTCTTTTTACATTCGGCTGTCACCAGGGTACCCACTAAAATACTGTATGACTTAATAATGTAACTCATGTGGTATTTTAGTAGCTGTGCAGTATCTGCAGATAGATGCAGTAAGATACAACTTGTCCCTGTTTGAAGTTTGCGGTCAAACTTTCAGTAGGTTTGAATGTTTGACCGCAAATTGAACAGGGGGGTTTTTGGCCCATCACTACTCATGATCCACATGGAGTATCTTGAACATTATTTTACAGTTTGAAACTTTCATCTGCAGTTTCCACTGCTTTGACCAATGTCCCAACGATGCCAAATCATATTCCGTGCTGCAGACGCCTCACAGAATATTTCATTTTCTTGGTCTAGTGAAGATATGGTTGCACTATGAGTGAGTTCTTCATACATCTTTTGTGTAAAACATACTAACAGTGCTACATTTGATTGTTGTTGATAAGCACTGCAATAATAACTGCACATACAGTGAGAAACAGAAGTATTTGAACACCCTGCGATTTTTCAAGTTCTCCCACTTAGAAATCATGGAGGGGTCTGAAATTCACATTGTAGGTGCATTCCTACTCTGAGAGACAGAATTTAAAAAAAATTCAGGAAATCACATTGTATGATTTTTAAAGAATTTATTTGTCTTGCACTGCTGAACATAAGTATTTGAACACCTAAGAAACAGCAAGAATTCTGGCTCTCAAAGACCTGTTACTGTGCCTTTAAAAAGTCCACCTCTACTCCACTCATTAATCTAACTTAGTAGCACCTGTCTGAGCTCTTTAAAGACACATGTCCACCCCACAGTCAGTCAGACGCCAACTACTACCATGGGCAAGATCAAAGAGCTGTCAAAAGTGAGAGAACTTGCAAAATTGCAGGGTGTTCAAATACTTCTGTTCCTCACTGTAAGTAGGATTGTTGACTTTTTGATACTTGCTCAATTGTTTTATATTATCGTCATCAAGTTTTTGGAAAGGTGTTAATTTTGGGTAATGATAGCAAAGAGGATTCTCATCTAACTGTACTTTTGTGCAGATTAGTTTTCCACTTGGCTCATCATGGTAATGAAAAGGTTATAGGTGTGGCTGTTAGATCTAGATATAAAGATGGTGTCCTATAATTAGACTCCTGTGGGAGTGAAATGTGTTGGAGCTCTCAGAGCAACAGGTGAATTGTTTATGCTTGGTTTGGCTTGAAAAAAATACAAGTTGGCTTTTGTGATAAATGGCTTTCCCTTCTTTGTTTGGATTATCCAAAGATTAACTGTGCAGAGCCGACTCCTGCAACCAGAAGACAAGAGATACAAGTAGCCTAGAGTGGTGCATGGTTTGCTTGTAGTAGACTGCAGTTATTGAATATAAAATGATGCAGCGCTAGAAAATAAAAAACTCTATATATGAACAGAATACAGCATCAAAATATATAAATATATATAAATGACCCAAATCCACAGGGGGAGACGAAAGGAACAATAGCCCTTAATATACAAATGACAGTGGTTAAGTGCAAAGTAAAGTGTCCTTAGTTCATATATCTAAGAAGTGCAGGTGAATCACAGCACACTCTAAACGTGATCCCAGGCAGTCTTGCTACAATGGCCTCTCACCTCCACTCTATGACCCCACAGGGCCATAAAGCATAGTGTAGATCACCTCAGGACCCTCCAATTCAGTAGCTCCTTAGATAAGATGGCATCACATGAACAGGGACAATATTCATCCAGACCAGTGGGCAAACGGAAAGCTCTCCTCCGATGTCACAACCGCTCATAGGATAGCAACAGCCTGTGTACAGATGGTATCGATATGCTGGGTGTACAGCAGATCACAAAGGTGCACCAAGATGGCGTCACGCCGGAAGTACGTCACCACGCTAATGCCGTCGACGCGTTGCGTCACGTAACTCGTGACTTCATCAGGACAGCGTGATTGGCCAGCAGTACTTCCTTATAAAGGCCAGAAACCGCACCAATCCAAACTAATGGGCGGTGCGATCGCGGCCATGTTCTAGTGGTCCAGTATGCAAAGACCTATACAGCCATGTTAATGTGGTCCAATATATACAGACCTTCTCCCATTAGGTCTAGCGATCCCAATAGGGTAACAAAGCTTAAAATAAAAGGCACCACACGACTAATATATCTCACTAGTGAGCACATTAATCATGGGAAGACTAATTAAAATTAGATGTGGAAAACCACATACTTTAATAAAAAATATATGAAGATAAAATCATACGAGCATGTCCATATAATTATATATAACATGCCCTATATTAATAGATAATAAAATATCATAAAAGGTCATAA